CAGGCCCCCTCTCCAGCAGCTCCACATCCCTCTTGTACTGTGGGGCCCAGAACTGGACACAGTCCTCCAGATGTGGCCTCACCAGAGCTGAGTAGAGGGGGATGATCACCTCCCTCAACGTGCTGGAGATGCTCTTCTTAATGCGCCCCAGGATCCCATTGGCCTTCTTGGCCACGAGGGCACACTGCTGCCTCACGGTCAACTTGTGATCCAGCATGATGCCCAGGTCCTTCTCTACAGAGCTGCCCTCCAGAAGGTCAGTGCCCAGCCTGTACTGGTACATGGGGTTATTCCTCCCCAAGTGCAGGACCTTGCACTTGCCCCTGTTGAATTTCATAAGGTTTGTCTCAGTACTGAGTTGTCCAGTCTGCCCAGGTCCCTCTGGATGGCAGCGCAGCCCTCTGGGGTATCAGTTACTCATCCCGGTTTGGTATCATCAGCAAACTTGATGAGGGAGCACTCTGTCCCTTCATCCAGGTCACTGATGAATAAATTGAACAGGACTGGACCAAGAACTGACCCCTAGAAGACACCACTAACTATGGGCCTCCAACTAGACTCTGCGCCACTGATCACCACCCACTGAACTCTGCCATCCAGCCACTTCTTAAACCACCTCACTGCCTACTCATCTAACCCGCACTTCCAGAGTTTGCCCAGTGACTTGCTTGTGAGGGATGGCGTCAAAAGCCGTGTTGAAATCCAGATAGATTACATCCACCGCTGTCCCCTCATCTACCCCGTCAGTCATTCCATTGCAGAAGGCTATCAGGTTGATTAAGTATGATTTCCCCTTGGTGAATCCATGCTGACTACTCCTGAGCATCTTCTTGTTCTCCAGCCAGGATGAGCTGTTCCATCACTTTTCCAGGGATCGAGGTGAGCCTGACTGGTCTGTAAATATGAACAAGTTTATGTTTCTTTCTCAACTTATAAGTAGCAACAAGTTCCATTTGGAGGTTGAAACTGCTTCCCTTTTCCTCTTTTACATGTGAAAACTATGTTGTGGCATGGAAACTTCAGGTAAAATCATTCAAAAGTGAATGCTTCCGTGTAGGATAACCCTCCTAATCAATTCCCTCTCCCAAGGCCCTTCCTTACAACCATAGTGCTCTGGTGGTGGCAGAGAGCAATGAGGAAAGGTGCAGGGGCACAGATCAGAGGGTCTGAGTGAGGGATCCCCAGATCTAGCTGTCCTGGGGCTGAGCAGCATTTGTGCACAAGAGCCATCAAGGATGGCAAGGGGCCAACATGCAGGCAGCCTCAATGTCACATCAAATCAACATCAAACTTGAGTTTTCTACGTCCTGTTTTAGGAGCAGAGAGATTTTGAGTACAACTCTTAGAAAATGCACGAGGAGGAGGCGACCGACACTAGCGTGACACAGTCAGGCCCAAGGCAAGGATGCTGCTGTCTGCAGCACAGTTCGTATAAACACCTGACCAAACAACACCATGCAGGGCTCATGGAACCACATGCATCGTCTCCTCCACTAGCCCTGCTCCTGCTCAGCCAGCAACCCCAGCCACGGGATCCCACGGGTTTGCAACCTGTCACTGCTGGCACAGCCCCAGGGCTTAAGGTGAACTCGGGCACAACGTTACCCACCGCCTTCTCTGGAGGGGCAGGGAGCTGCGGGACAGGGCGGCCCCACTCGCCCACCAGGCCAGGCCGGGCCGAATGGGACGGGCGGGAGG